ATATTTCATAAACAATGTCACTTCTTGACTCCAGATTATTAACAGCTGTCATGGAGCCAGTAAATATAACAGTCTTATAATCATATTCATTTACCACCCGTAGGGCTTGAAGAATTATAACAGCAAATACTGAGAGATGGTCAAAGTCTGAATACATTTGAGATATAAAAATCTGAAATACAATATGTCCCAGCAATTCAAAACAATGCCGAATCATTTTTATAACATTTGACGCATTCGTTCGTTAATGGTTGAATGCAGACCACAACGAGGACCTGGTTTCAGAAGTAGCCAAGGAGCAGTGTCTGGAGGTGCAGAGGAATCAAATAGATTGTACTCTAATACTCCATGCTTGGCGACAAGTTTAGGAATAATCAAACCAAAACGGACCTTGTCATGTGACCTGTCGCAAATCACACACTCAACAAAATTATTTACAACACAATAAGCTAAATTATAAATGGTTTCAGATGTTAAATGGCGATAATATTTGAGAGACGAAGACTTAGAGGCATTTCGAAACATTCAACCATGAGAGGTGAAACTGGGCTAGTTACATGGACAGAGGCACTCATGCACACTCGCAAAGCATTTGACTGAATGCGATTAAGTTTGGAAAGATGACATTTGAGTAAAACATAATTACCTTCCAGCCATAGTCAAGCCTTGATAATATTAATGATTTATTAATTAATAACATAGAATATATATCGACACCTCACTTTGTTTTGGCAATACCTTTCAACAGATTTATAACCTTATTTGTTCACAGCATGATCTATATGAGGGTTCCATGCATGCTAGTCTCTGGTCAAAATACTCACCAAGAAATGTACTGAGACACCTTAAATCCCCATTTAGAATCCTCAGTAATGACATGTAAGAGTTTCTGAATCGATAATCGATTCAATAACAAACTCCAAATAAACCATCACTTGCAATCTGCGCTGCATCTACATCTAATGGTAAATCTGTCAAAAGTCCTTACCATAATGTTGAAAAGCACGGGGCCACACTACCTTTTAGCTTGCCATTTTCAGTCATATCCAAACCAGAATAGTCTCGATTCTGTCATTTGAAAAAGTTTTCTAAATATCTGGGAAGACGCACAATATGTACTCTTGATTACATAACACTTTTTGTGCTTCAGTCTGGAGTCGTACTTGGTGATTAGTACATGAACGTCCCTTTCTAAAGCCTGACTGTTTTGCATAAATCGACAGTCAGTGCAATTGGTCTGTATGAAACAGGCGTAGATAGACCCTTCCCTGGTTTTGGTCCTGGAACAATGATGGCATGTTTCCAGAACTCCAACAAATATACCGTATGTCAGGGAAACAATTTTGTATCTCATCTATACCGAATTGTTCAGGTTTTGTATATCTCGTATATACAAAACTTGCCTAGATCTTGTACAAGTAGTACATGGCGACAACCACAGAAAATTGTACCACTGGTGATTTGTTTGGCATACACAAATCAACTGGTTACTTGGTAATCCAAGCGGACTGTTATACTATTTGCTCACAACTAGTTGTCAAGTTTACAGAGGGTGACGACCTTAAAGCAGCGATTGCAGGCTTACTAAAACCTTCCAAACTGTGAGACAGTTGATGACCACATGTCCCCACCATACCTCCACGACATGGTCATGCTGGCAATGTGAACGGGAAAGGCTTCTATTCTACTCTCATGCATGCTGTGTGTGATCTCAGATACCGGTCCACAGATGTGTGCATACGCTGCCCAGGTCGAGCAGACCGTGCGAGGTTATTCTCCAATGTCAAAGATGAGGGGCAACAGTCCCATCAGAGTCTTATCACAGTCCCCCCCAATATGGGCATTTAAACCAGGCATATATAGCTGTACATTTCATTATGCTTCAACAAGGCTGACAAACACATGGTGTTATGTGTGCTGTTTATACAGGCTTGTAATTGTGATAGTCTGATTCCAAAGAGAGCAGTGGTAGTTACTACAAAATATAAATTGAGACTGGGAGTAGACATTTAACAGAAAGCTTCCAGACCACTCGGAGGAATCCAGTACAGCCTCTACCAGCACATACACTATATAGAAAGAGTCAGTTTGCCATCGTCTTCTTAAATTATGTAAAGTCCAGCAGTTGTGTGTGTTGTGGTCACCTGTAACAGGATATCCAGCCTGGGCCTATGTTCGCGGTGAGGCCTCTGTTGTTGTGAACTTGTTTTCCCCACTATTTTTATTCACACGAGCAAAGTACACTCATAAAGTTCCACATAAAGGTCATACATTGACAAGTTCAAGAGTCATCACACTTCAGTCTATGCTGTAAGTAATGCTAGCCATTTGCTCATACATTCATTTGGTTGGTGTTTCATTCTGGCAATATATCTTTTATCTTGAAAATATCTTTCAAGGTACAAATGAAGGATTTCACAGTCAAAGATGCATTTTAATGAAGCTTTCGTATACTACTCAACTTTGCTAAGGATCACAAACCTCCACAACTTTACTTAAATGTAGATTTATATTTCGAAATCGTATCCATTTAAAACTTGATAAATAACCCCTCTTTAGGCAAACAGTCGCTTTAATCTAACCGTATACACCTGATACATGAGTAACCATAAAAATGGTTTTCATGGCACCAGTCAGCCATTTTGCATATCATGGAACGAGTCATTGACAAGTACACAACACCTGCCAATTGCAGGCATGGGTTCCAGAAGATGAAATGACATACTGAAACCTAGGATCCTTGCCTACAATAAGCTTAGATATCCAAACGAATTTGACCCCACATCCATGATTTGATCCTTAGCAAAGTGTGAATAGTATATATATTTCAGCCAAAAGAATGTGGTTCAACAGTTTTAAGTTTGCAGTCGCCGGAATACCAAATATGCTGGATTTGAGATTTAGCTGAATCTCATAACACTACAGGTGTTCAAGTTCATACCAGTGGACATTCAACAGACATAATATAGTCGATTCATTTTCGTTATTACGAGTCCCTTTTACAGAGACTATTGTGTTGCAGTGAACATTACGATCGCTGTCTTTATGGCTATATCAATGTATTGTATTGCCATTGTATTTGTACTCACATTGAGTATGTACTGCCATTCTATGTTTTACTGAAATCTATATTGATTTGTAAGGGTTGGAACAGAGCTTAAATAGCATACTGGTATGTTTACCATTTTGGAGGAATTAATTACCAGGCCTCCATGATATGGAAATACACATCTGGTGTTTGCCATGAAGAACACCAATTGGTTGCCTGCTTTGGTCTGCCAGGTCTGATGCACATTAGTGGGTCTGTTCTGATATAAACATATTTTATTCATGAAATATTAACATGGCATGAATATGGATTGGCACAACAAGTCAACGGCTTATGTGAGTGCCGCTCCATAAAATATAACACAATACAATCAATAATTAATTTCAAACAAAGTACAGAAGCAATTATTTCCACAAAGGCATGAAATGCATAATAACAGGAAAAAGGCTACAAAATTACTTTAAATGATTCGCTAGTTACAGTTAAGAATAATTCGAATCTATTTGAAAGTAGTATGTACTTGTGAACAGAGTCAAGAATAAGCTGATTTATGATGTTGCTTGAAGTTTGATTACCATGGAGAATTGAATTTAAGTCAAAACCATAAGTCTAGAAATATTTATCTGATCTTATTAAGTCATAACAAGGGCAAGAAAAGAAGTAATGGAGAGAATCTTCCCACGGATACCCACATGCACAATTCGGATTATTTGAAATATGTCTATGAAAACAATGAGCGTTCAAGTCACTACAACCAAACCTGAGGCGAGCATGGACTATTTGACAAAATCTAGATCCAAAGTTTTCATCAAAGAGAATATTTCCTTGTTTGGCCTGTAATCTTGTTTTTGAACGAATTTACTGATTGTGAGTTAATTATTTCGGTTGGTAAATTGTTCCATAAACATATGGTGTCTGGTGAAAAGGAGCGTGCATACGAGTCTGTATGGCAACGAATTGTGCGAATACTATCAGTATTTCTCAAATTGTAAGAACTTAAAACTGAAACATGTTCTGCAATTAAATCAGATAAGTAGTTTGGAGTAAGGTCATTAGTCATTTTGTAGAATAAAGAAAGTTTTTTGTCATTTCTCTACGCTTAACTAATGAAATTGGTCTCATTGTAGATTTTTTCATGACTAGTTCCTCTCACGGCTCCACAAGTCGTTCTTAGAGCGTCTAATTGTAAATTTTCTAGAATCATAGACTGTTCTTTCGTACAGTTGTCCCATAAGTGACAACAATAATCGAAGTGTGGAAGTATATAATAAGTATTCTTACATTCTAATGTATGTCTAGTTAATCTATATATAAAGCTTTTTAAACAGTTTACCATAGGACTTACAACCTTTACTATTTTTTTCAATTTGGTTTTTCCAATAACAATCTTTTTTAAGATAATTTTTTATGGAAATGTACTTCATTTACTGGAGTTCCTTTCATATCTATGGGTGAACATAACAGAGGGATTTACTTTGCGGGTGAATAAAATCGTTTCAATTTTTGTTGGATTAAAATATACTTGCCACATATCGGCCCAATCATAAATACGATTTAAGTCATTATTCAAAATTCTTGCAGTTTTGTCTGTGTCTTCTACAACTATATACACTGATGTGTCATGAGCAAAAAGACGAATACTGCTGTTGATGCCATCGACAATATCATTGATGTATACTAAGAATAATAGCGGCCCTAAGACTGGTCCCTGTCGATATATGTTTTAAATCTGATGATCGGCCATCTTTAACTTTGAACTCTATTTCTAAGATAACTGCGAAACCATTCAATTAAGCTACCACGCATTCCATAAGCCTCTAATTTAAACAATATACTTTTGTACCATACTTTGTCAGAAGCTTTACTAATGTCGCAGAAAACGGACTTTACTTCTGGTTGTTCTCTATTCGCCTACATCCCAATTTGCCTACAGTCTTAAAACAACATTTTCACCCCTATGATGGAAAAGTGGACTCTTCTCGTGGAAGTCGTTGGACAAAAAGACTTTATTTATTTCTGTTTCTTGTCATTTTCCGAATGACAATGAAATGATCATTTATTTATCATATATCACATCATATCATATCACATCATATCGCATCAGTATTGAGAAAGTTCACTTGTGGGTATGTTCATTCTCTCCTGTACAAGGAAGTGCAAAATCTCTCTGAGACAAGATGAACTCCGTCCTCTTCAGGTTAGCCATTGTGACTATCAGTGCTTGGCGACCACTCCATGTTATAGGGTTAAGTTGGTTTAAGGCCTATTAGAAACAGAGAACTGAGTATATTACAGTGAACACATTAAAGAACAAGTGTTCCTTTCTTCTTTTCCATGTTTCTTCACAAGGTACACAAGAAAAAAAACGGTGATTTCCAAAAAATTCCAATTTGGAAATATCATATTTCCAAAAATTTCCAAAATTGGAAAGATGATGTTTCCAAGGCTTGGAAATTTTTGGAAATTTAGGAAGGATTTTACCACTACTTTCAATTTCTCTTTTTTCCCAAGGATCCCCGGCCCATGCGTGTATAGACTGAACTATTTCACGAATCTTTTGATCTGTTAGAGTTCTTATTGTTGATATACATAATGTATCTTGCATGTGACATATTTATTCATGAAAACTGCAGGAATAAGCCATATTTTCATATTATCCCTTTGTGCGTGATATCAATGCACGCGTGAAGTGATACTTTTTTTAAAGTTGGGATTATGTTTAGAGTAAGTGTTTACTATTCGCCGTCCTATGCGACCAACTAGGAACCAATTCTATATATGAGTCTTCACTCATCTGCATTCTTCTTGTTCTATGTGTCAAAAATTTATATTGACTGTTCTATTTACCGCTAGTATTGCGAGCATTTTCAAAAGTCAGTTTCAAGTGTATGTTTTAGTTGTTATCCACAAAAGCGCAAATATATTTATTTTTTTCCCTTTCTCAATGTTCGTATGAATACAAATTCCATACACCTACGCTATATGGACTATATAACAGTGTACCAGACTTACTGATTGACTGAGTGTATTACATGCCATAAAAGTGAACCCGTGCCATTGCGTAATGGATTCTCGTGAAGTAGGATTTTGTTATTACAGTATAATCTCGTTCATGTTGCGTCGGTGTTGTTATACAGGATTAAAACACTGGGTGCTATAAAATTCTGAACTTCTTTTGAAATATGATTGAATTTACTGAGTTAATTTACTGAGTTTAGCTCACTGAGATTATAATGATACTGATTCACGTGTTCACTCAACGGGGATGATACGTTCTACGTCTCGCCAAAGTTATTGATTAACCTACTAATCTACTAATATCTAACAAAGTGCTAGAGTTGTGGGTGACCTTCGTAGGGTCAGTAATAAGTTGAAATAGGTCATACATGATTTGAAAATTATGTATCTTATTATTACTTGGGGTGTTGGCATGGCAGATTTTAGAAGATCGTTGAAAAGGCCCTCCAAATGATAGCTGAGATATATTTCACATGATATGTTTCATCCTGTGATGAGTAGTATAAACAATGGGGGTACGGGACCAGCCTATATAAGGCAAGGAATCAATAAGTATCTATTCCTAACTCATATTAATTTTTAAAAACCATAACACAACTACTTTTCATCTCCCATGTAAAAAAGTAGTCATAGATTTACTGGAAAGACTATGTGGTACAGGACCATAAACCCATACAAAAATACTTTCTATCTGACCTGTAAAAAGTAACCATAGTCTTATTCGAAAGAGTAAGACTATGGATACTTTTACAGGGGAGATAAAAAGTAACCATAGTCTTACTTGAAAGAGTAAGACTATGGAGTATGGGGTCATCCTATATAAGGCAATCAATCAATAAGTATCTATTAATTTTTTTCTATCACCATTAGAGTGTCACATTTAATGAAGTCAAATCGTATCAAGTCCCTCAATGTATGAAAGGTGTATGTTACGGGTAAGATTACACAATCCTATATCTATTACATCATCTTATGTTTAACATGAAGGATGTTTGTCTATTTAGAGAATTGTTTTCACATATAATATCAACACTGCTGTGTTTGTAACTTTATGATATGTTTACAGTACATGAATTGAAAAAGCAAGCACGAGACCGTGGACTTCGAGGTTATTCTCGTATGAGAAAACATGAATTACTAGATTTATTAGGTTTTAAATATAAAAACACCTACTGTGAAAGAACTTACAAAGCAAGCTCGTGAACGTGGAATGCGAGGTTATTCTCGTATGAGGAAATCTGAGCTAATTGAATTACTGAAAGAACAAAAACCTATAGAATTACAATTCACACCTGTTGAGCATGCTGTAGGTAAATATTTGAGAGGTTGGATGATGGAAGTTTAAAGAAAGATAGATGTTGAAGACATAAAACCATCGGTATTTGACAAAGTAAATGAAGAACTTAAAGATTTGAGAGGTATTAAATTTCAACTCACGTTAAACATGACACTAGAGAAACAACAGTCGAATGAAACAACTGAATACACCAATGTTTACTTCAGAGGTAATCAAGAAGTTACAACGCAACCAGACACTATCAACTCTTCTATAGACAGATCATTAGAAAAAATGCGAAAAACACTAGAACGTTACACTAAAATGGGTTCTGGTTGGGTTGTTGACAAGAATAATATGGTCTGCCTGGATATAGCAAACTCTATACCATTGAAAGGTGGATCGTACTTATCCCTGTCTGAGTATTTCAAGAAAAAACAAGCTATGGTTAACGTTAAAAACCGAGACAACAATTGTATGAGGATAGCGATAAGATCTGCTAAATTTCCAGTTGAAAAACATTCCGATAGACTTTCCAGTTATCCAGAAGATGACGGGATCAATTGGGAAGGTATAGACAAACCCACCCCCATCTCTCAGATCCAAAAAATAGAACAACAGAATCAAGACTTAGCCATAAACGTTTTCGGACACGAAGGTAAAAACGTAATAGTACACAGGATAAGTCCTTTATTGTATAAGGATTGTCGTAAAATGATCAATATATTTATGATCCAACAAGGTGAAAAATATCACTACACATGGATAAAGAATTTCAGCCGACTGTTGAACAATCAATCGAAACACAGGGAAAAGAAACCCTTTTGTGAAAGATGCCTTCACGGGTTTTCTAGGGCTGATCTGCTTGATTCGTACAGGGTTGATTGCCTAGGTGTGGGGGAGACAACCGTACGAATAGATATGCCGAGAGAAAAAAACAACATCTTGAAATTTATCAACCACAAAAATCAAATGCCAGTAACATATATTATCTACGCCAACTTCGAAGCTATCATTAAACCAATAGATACAGTAGCTCAATCCACTAATCAAAGTTTCACACAAAAAGTACAGGAGCATGAAGCGTGTGAGTTCGGGTATGTGGTCGTTCGTTGTGATGATCAAACTAACCCTACAGTTATTTATAGAGGACCAGACGCGGTTGAAGAATTTCTAAAGCGTTTACAACATGAAGCGAAAATGATCATTAAAAAACTATGTAACAAAACACCAATGCGTATGACCCAAGCAGACCGGGAAGCCCACAACAAAAGCACACATTGTCATGTGTGCTGTAAACCTCTGAATGGTGATTCAGTTAGAGATCACTGTGACATTACTGGTAAATACAGAGGTGCGGCTCACAATGAATGTAACTTGAAGCTAAGAATAAATCCTAAACTTATTCATATACCAGTGGTGTTTCACAATCTTCGCGGGTATGATTCACACTTGATTATGCAAACTATTGCAAAGGTAAAAGGCAACATATCCTGTATCCCAAACAATATGGAAAGATATATATCCTTTTCGCTAAATGGGTTGAGATTCATAGATAGTGTTCGGTTTCTGTTGTCGTCTCTAGACAGCTTGGTCAAGGCTAATAACCCGAATGACTTAGCTGTAACTAATCGTTACACAGAAGAGGAAACTCGAGCTTTGCTGTTACGTAAGGGTATCTACCCATATGAATACATGGATGACTGGTCTAAGTTTAATGAGAAAAAGTTACCTCCTATTGACCACTTCTATAGCAAGATGTCTGTCGCGTCTATCACACAAGACGATTACGAATACGCGAAAAAAGTATGGGAAAACTGGGTTGTCATAATCTACGTGATTATCACGATTTGTATTTGAAAACAGATGTGTTATTGCTGGCTGATGTTTTCGAGATATTGAGAAAAACGTGTTCGAAGCAATACGGGTTGGACCCGGCATGGTATTATTCAAGTCCTGGGCTCTCATGGGATGCCCTACTGAAGAAAACCGGTGTTAAATTAGAATTATTCGCCGATTACGATATGCATCTGTTTATAGAGAAAGGGTTACGCGGTGGTATTTCTATGGTATCAAAACGTTATGCCAAAGCTAACAACGAGTATGTTAAAGGCTACAACCCTAAACTATCTACTATACCTCGATGCCAACAACCTGTACGGCTGGGCCATGAGCCAGTATCTACCTACCTGTGGTTTCGAGTGGACATCTGAGATCGATGATGTTATGAGCATCGCACCGGATTCTAACAAGGGTTATATACTCGAAGTGGATTTAGAATATCCGGAGGATTTACACACCTCACACAACAGTTATCCCCTGGCTCCAGAGCGTTTGAAGGTGAATATGCTATGTAAATTGTCAGCTCCTGGCAAGGGTGCATTAGTCTTGGACCTCCACGTCACTTCACCAACGCAAGCTGACGACATCACTCTCTTGAGTCCCCTCACATCCAACCTACAAGATCTGGTGCACATGTGTGAGGACTACAGCGCAAGCTGGAGGTTTAGCTTCTCCCCGTCCAAGAGTGGCGCTCTAACCTTTACAGACAAGAAAGCAGTGCATCATCTTCAGCTTACTCTCTATGGGGAGCCTATTCCGAACCTTGAGTCCATCAAACATGTTGGAATCGAACTCCACAAGAACTTCAACTCGTGGGATCGCTCAATCAAAGCCTGCTC